CTTTCCCTCCCCATCCCCCTCTCTTTCTCTGCTATTTATTTGCACCCTGGTCTCCAAAGCTCCAACTGAAGAAGTGGGCTGTGCCCGCGAAAGCTCATGATACCATCTACATGTTTTGTTAGTCTATAAAGTATTGCAGGACTATTCACTATTTTTAAAGTTTTTTTTCAAGTAGGGTATATCTGCACTGCATGGCTATTTCAAAATAAGCTATTCCAGAATAGTTATTCTGAAATAGCTTATTTTGAAATAGCATGTCTACACTGCAGGGAAGCCTCAAAATTAGTCCGAGGCTATCTCGATTTAGAGGCCCAAGAGGCACAGGGAAGAAATAATTTAGAATGGCTCTGATGAGGGTCTATTTTGAAATAGCAGCAGTGGAGCATCTACACACACGCCTTATTTCAAAATAGCTATTTCAGAATAGGCATTATTCTTCATAGAATGAGGTTTACAGATTTTGGAATAAGCCGTTAGTTATTTTGAAATTATTTTGAAATAACAGAATGGCTATGTAGACACTCACATTGTTATTTTGAAAGCACGCTAGTTATCTTAAAATAACGGCGCAGTGTAGATGCACCCTTACAGGCTAACACGTCTACTCCTCTGAAACTTTTAAAATTAGATATTATTTTTACACTTGAACAAAGAACAAAATGGAAAAAACAGCCACAAGAACACATTTTAAAATACATTAAAGGCCTAAAACACAGAGAGGGTACGTCTACACTACAGCGCTAGGTCGAAATAACTTAGTTCGAATTAGTTAATTCGAACTAAGCTAGTTCGAACTAGGCGTTAGTCCTCGTAAAATGAGGTTTACCTAGTTCGAACTAAGGGCTGTGTAGCCCTTTAGTTCGAACTAGTGGGAGGCTAGCCCTCCCCAGGTTTCCCTGGTGGCCACTCTGGCCAACACCAGGGAAACTCTATGCCCCCCTCCCGGCCCCGGACCCCTTAAAGGGGCACGGGCTGGCTACGGTGCCCGTGCCAGGTGCAAGCCTGCCAGCACCCAGCTAGCAGACCCTGCACCTGGCACGGCACAGAGCCCCCCACCCGATGCCCCCCAGCCCACCCCCTCTTGCCGGGACCAGGCTGGCGGCTCCCGGGAGCTTGCCCTGGACCGCAAGAGGCGGGCACCTTCCTGGGCTAGTGCGGACATCGTGGACCTCGTCCACGATCTCCGCACTAGGCACAGGAAAGTGGCCGTCTAGGGCAGGAGAGCTGCCAGCCTGGCCACCCAGGAGCAGGTGTGCATGAAAATCACGGGGGTCCACTGAGCCCCCCGACCCTGAGCCCACAATGGCCGTCCTGGGTCAGACCAAAGGTCCATCTAGCCCAGTAGCCTGTCTGCTGACGTGCCGAGTGTGGGCACTCAGGGCACTCCAAGCCAGAACTTCTTTGCAAGCGGGGCACCCCTTAGAACTGTGTGTCCGGGGTGGGGGTCAGGACCCTTTAAGCGCAGCCCTCGGCTAGCCTGAGACAGCATCTCCCTGCTCTAAGTCCTCCTTTTATGCCCTGCCGGCACTGCTTCCGGCCATCCTTAAGCCCTGTTCAGAGTCCACTCAATGTGGACTTACTAGTTCGAACTAGTAAGTCCACATTGAGTGGACTCTGAACAGGGCTTAAGGATGGCCGGAAGCAGTGCCGGCAGGGCATAAAAGGAGGACTTAGAGCAGGGAGATGCTGTCTCAGGCTAGCCGAGGGCTGCGCTTAAAGGGTCCTGACCCCCACCCCGGACACACAGTTCTAAGGGGTGCCCCGCTTGCAAAGAAGTTCTGGCTTGGAGTGCCCTGAGTGCCCACACTCGGCACGTCAGCAGACAGGCTACTGGGCTAGATGGACCTTTGGTCTGACCCAGGACGGCCATTGTGGGCTCAGGGTCGGGGGGCTCAGTGGACCCCCGTGATTTTCATGCACACCTGCTCCTGGGTGGCCAGGCTGGCAGCTCTCCTGCCCTAGACGGCCACTTTCCTGTGCCTAGTGCGGAGATCGTGGACGAGGTCCACGATGTCCGCACTAGCCCAGGAAGGTGCCCGCCTCTTGCGGTCCAGGGCAA